AGCAGGCTCTGTGCGAGTTGTAGAGTGAGGTCCAGGCTTTCTGCTGGCGAGGAGTATTGTGATGTGAAGACTATTGAGAGATTCTGCAAGTCCAGTAAGATTGCGACACTATCTCGATGAAGGCTGACTGTCAATGGGGACCAGTCATGATTGCAGGAGATTACTATTGCGCGAGGCGGCGAGTCTTTATCCTCCAGCTGAAATACAGTCCATTGAAGGGGGAAGCCTACTGCTTTGCCTTTATACGTGTAGGGTTCCTGTATTAGATGATGTCTACATTTATTTCCGTGGCATAAGCTATTAGCTGCGTGGTGGCCGCTCGCGAACGCTGGAGGTTAATCTGCAGGCATGAGATTGGGGTGTCCCTTGTTTTGTTCGCTGCATTAATGTGTGAGCTGTTGTCCGCTGATGAATCATTGATCGTCTGTGTGGAGGATGGCACCCGCTGCATGAAATTAGTTGCTCCGTTACTCATAGGCGGTGACTCGCCTGAGTTTGGCAACTTGCTGTTGGTAGCTACGAGCCCTCCTTTCGAATTGGCCATTTCTGTACGTAAGTAAGGATGCACGGAATTCTTTGCAGGTTTCTTCGTGCTCGGATGCTCCTAAACACTAGTAGTAGTTTTATGTTTTCTAGCAATCTCCGCAAAAGTAGGTATTGGAGGAGCAGGCAAAGATGTAGACGCCGGTAAATCACTTAGCAAAGGAACAGAAGGTAGTGATGGCGAGGAATGAGCTAATTCGCAACAAAGTACTGTGGAGGGTGTTAACACCAATATCAACCTTGGCGGGCTTTAATACAACATTCAGGACCCGCTGAAGCAAGAGTTTGTAAAGCAGTAAGAGAATTTAAGAGTCTAGTGCGTAAATCCGTGGGCAGCGAAAATTTTGAACTTCGTTTAGTAGTTGCAATTCTTCGAATGTCGTCGCACAGTGCAGTAATTTTATCAGTATGATGTATATCAGATGCCAATACTAACGTAGGATCAAGTCCATTTTCTGGATGGGCTGAATCACCGTCAATCGGGAGAACTGATTGACAGAACATATTTCAAAGAAGAATTCTGTTAATACTTAAAGTACTCAATGACTGAACAATTGTAAAGGTGGTAGAATGTTGGGCGCACTCCAAAACTTGTAACAAACTTGGTCGTTAAACTTCTCTGTTTTTTATCTGTTTTAAAACTTGCTGTAATCCAAAAGCTGTTATATTCATGTGGTACACACTGAGCACACACTATTTCAAACCGCAAGTGAGTCACAAAACACAATTTTTTTTACTAAGTCCAAAAATTAGTACAAAAATTTGTATCTCTGCTTCTAATTAACGGATCTGTTTCAAATTTGGAAACTTGAACCTTCCGTGATCTTATTGGAAGTATGGCACAAGTTTCAAGTTGATACAATAATTAGCGGCCTAATTAGCAGTGGCCTGATTAAAAGCCTACTATGAAGAAATTCGCCGTGGGATTTGGCCTTGTCAGCTTCCTCTCCTCACGGGGGGGGGGTGGAATGCGACCGTTACGAAGCTTCAACGGTCAAATCGTCTTCCGAATCGAAATGCTGCTATGTAATTACAGTAATTTGGTCATAATTAGTTTTGTAATTATCCAATTGTCTTCACACATATCTTGAATTGAAGAGGGAATTTATCTCTCTACACAAGATGATGTAACTTTTAGGTCGCGACGGATAACAACAGCTCCCTCAGAGGATTTCAAAGGTGGTATATCCGCTGGGAATAACACAGCTCAATGCTTATTTGTCGTAAATATTATAATTAGAGAACTAATTGACCCACATATAAAAATGGGGTATCAAATTATTCCTGTTGGTTTTAGGAACAGATGGCAACTACTAATAAGTCGATGCGAGTAAAACTTCCGTAGTTATTGAACAAAAAGACGGAGCTCAAAAAGTGCGACTTACCCTCACGGCGTCTCAACTAAGTATTAACTTGGAGATAGAAGAAAGTACTGTGATTCACAGGACTGAGACTGGAGCACTAAGATTAGCACCGGCCGGTCCACAGACGGCAACATTATGTGGGGTACGGTGAGAGATATCGATGAATGAGTACCAAAACCATCAAAGAATTTTTATGAATTCTTGCGATGGTATTACGCTAGAGATATCTGAGATTTTGTATGGTGTATAGTGTGGAGCTCAGTTTCTATCTAGATTCTGCTTCAGCAATGGTTATTGGGTGAGTTTTGGAAAACAAAGTGGCAGTTAAGCTGCTCCAACTTTACTCAAATTACCAACTTGGAGTCAAGGTTGAGAATTCCAGCAGCATTAATAACAGGTTGCTCTTTGTATGTATAAAGAGACAATTACAATCCGGTGTACTGATAAATTGCTGCAGCACATTGTATTATTACATCACCTAGATTTAACAATTATTATTTTAGCATAATAATGACAGGCCATTTACATCATTGGCAAAATTCCTACATTATTGCTCGGCTACCATAGTCCTACTGCAACAGAGTATCTGTCGCATATGACTGACAGCCAAATCCTTTCATTCGATTGGGTGTCTGTTATCGAATCGACACAATGCGGGACGAAAATCGCGCTGAGCGCGACGTAATTGGCTTCATGAAAGTAGTGTCACATGGGCACGTAACATGAGCAGTTTCTGACTAATGGTATCCCAAGCGGTAACGCGAATAAAATGATCGATACCTCAACATCAATGGTTAGCATCCAGAGAAACCCACTCCAGTCTTGCAAGTATAGGGAGGTATATCGCAGATATGTGGAGTCATGTGTTCAGTCTGAAAGTCGTTATGAGAATTCATCACACAAGTTCAGCAGAAACATTCCGTTCTACACTTGCAATCATATCCACGATTCTAAGTGTAGACAAATTTTCCTAATTAAATATCTTAAATTTTTCGGTTAAATGTATGATTTTGTTGCAGAAATTGTTAATTCTTTTAGACAGACTTAATTTGGTATTCGTTTCTTTCCTTTTTTTTTTTTTTTTTTTTTGAATATTAATCTGTTTTTATTGGCATGAGCACGTATGTGCACCCAGTGTTTCGTCCAAAGTTGGGATTCTTCGTTTCTGGACACCGTTGTCGTCATATATCTTTTGTCTCTCTAGAGTCCTTTATTCTTCGTTTTTGATTCCCTCTCTTTGTTCTTCGCGTTTTCGAATAAATCTGCACTTGAGCCACGTGATCCAACTTTCAGTTACACATGTTGGTTTCTCGTGAGTTCATATATAGGTTACATGACCCTGACTACACTGGAGGCAGATTGTTATAGAAAATCAAGCCATGGCCATTCATCTGACAAAGGCAAATCATGGTATTTTTGGGTATGTGCTCTGTAACGTCTGATTCCTTATATACAGATCCAAAGCCCTTCTTTGAGAGCCTTCTGCAATACTCCATTCTTTTCATAAAGGCGAAAAATAGAGGAAGCTTCGTCGGGGTACTTGAGGTTTTTTCCTAAACTGAATAACTTTTACGACGGAAAATCCTTTGGTTGCAAGTTCCGGTTTGATTTCTTCTGGGTTGGAATCAGCTAGTAATCCACGGATCAACCTTGATAGGTATTTCCGCTTTCTATCTGAAGGTTCTGAAGGAGAAGCCATTCTTTTAAAATATGCTAAACGCTGTGCTGCGATTCCAATTAGAATCGAAGAAAAAAGTGCTTGTATCTCTGCATAGTATTATGGTTTGTACTTGTTTGAGAGAGAAGGCTTCGATTTGTTTCCGATCTTGGAAAAACTAACGGAGGCAGTTTCTTTTTCTTGATTTGATATGGTATCAGTAGTGATGAACATGTGTTGATTTTTAGAATTTTCATTCTCATCTTGGCATTCTATTTTATTATTATCAGGAATGTCAACAACTAAGTTATCGAACTGGCTCTTTGTTAGAACTTGTTTAGTTTTCTTTTTTTTTAGTTACTGCCTTTTTTTCCACATCTGGAGATACTTTTATCATCTCAATCAGAAATAACGTTGAGGTTTTCCTCTTCAATTGAAGAAGCAATTGAATTTCCTCTTCAATTTGTCTCATTATTGAGATCCTAATGAACCCGCAACATGTAGCAAGATATACATAGTCTTTTGATAGTCTTTTGATGTAAAATCTTAAAGTTTCTTAATAGCTGCTTGATGTCGAAATGATATAGCAAGATTTATGTTATAAAAACTCATTTATAAGCTTAAAAATTGTACTTTATAATATTGTCTGTGCAAGGAAATGATATTGTGTTTAATAAATCCTTAGTTAAAAATATATTCAATCTCAAAATATTTTTACTTTTGATGTATAAACATTAAAAGAACATTTCTTCTTCCTCTTGGCATGTGCTGAATTATGTAACACGTTCACAGACAATAACCAAGACTACCTTTAGAGATGGGTTAAAAACCTCATCACATTATTTTCTTTTGTTACCTCATTGGGTAAAACCTTAATAGTTATTTACTGGGGTGATTTATGAATCCAAAGTGCTGGTTTCTTTAGCCAGCCATTTTCCTGTCGGATATAGGGATTGAATGCCGAACCTTCATGCATTTTGAATGCGTGGAGTGGAGGAACAACGGATTAGTTAAATAGCGTAAATTCTCCTCCGAGTTTTCATCTTGCTTAATTTATAAGTATAGACATTTTCTTAACGCAGTCTTCATCTATTCACTCCTTTAAATCAAACATTGTAAAAAATGTAAGAAAATTTGTGTTTTAAATTTATTCATTGAATCTTACATTTTATTATCTTAAAGGTAATCTCAAAACGGCATTGTGCGTCGTTTCACTTTCTGCGTTGGTTCACGTTTCAAACTGTTGCCACAAATTTATCGCCTAATAATTAACTTAGAGACTACAAGCGTTTTGGAAAAACACCTTCTTATGAATTCTATGTTAGAAAATGCCCATTTGAATTTAATTTATTTTTTCATTCGAACTCTTTGATAACTTAGAATCGAAACTAAGAGCGTTAGAAGTTCTGGGTGTTGCTAGAGATAAATATGCGGCGATGTTATATCCTCTAGTCGAATCGTCATTGCCGGATGATACATTAAGAGCATGGCAAAGATTCCGAGTTATTAATCGCAGTCAGAGAGAATCTGAAAGTAGTGAGCAAAAAGAGAAAAATGCGTCAACACATCGCATGGATTTAGATGGTTTGCTTTCATTTTTGCTCGATGAAATTGAAGGTGAAGAGAGAGTATCTATAGCTACTCAGTGCTTTACTAAATATCAGACACCTAAGCCTGGGAATGCTAAACACTTTGGTTTCAAAAACCGTGGAGAATTTTCCAAAACACCTTCTGCTTCTACTCTAATAGCAACATCTGAACAAAATTCAACTGGATGTATTTTTTGTGCTGGAAATCATGCATCTGGTGATTGCGTTAAAGCAAGAAAGATGACGTCTGAGGAAAGGCAAAAAGCAGTTCTAAATAGTCGCAGTTGCTTTTTATGTTTAGACAGAAAACATGTAATAGCTAAATGTAAAAAACGAACATCGTGTGTGATTTGTGGGAAGAAACACCACATACTTTTATGTAGAAATATCCAAGCTGAATCAAAATCTCCAGTTCCTGTTAGCACGAATAAGGATGAAAATACGGATGCAGTACCTGAACGAGATGAAACCCTCGCCAATTTGGCGAGAACAACAAATGTGTTTTTGCAAACTTTAACGGTTACATTGAAAGGGCGAGATAGAAAGCGCCAGGCCCGTGCTATTATCGATTCAGCTTCACAGAGATCTTATATTTTAAAAAGCACTGCAGATGAAATGAAATTTGAGAGTACATCTAAAGAAAGATTGAGCCATTCATTATTTGGCGGGTCATGTACTGATGTCATAAACCACGATGTTTTTACAGTTTACAGTGTTCTTGTCTAAAACGGATGGAACTTATCATTGTAACTTCAAAGCTCTTAGCCAAGATATTATTTGTGGAAGTATACCACCAGTTGCTAATGGCGAGTGGATTCAAGAGCTTAAAGAGAACAATATATCCGTATGCGACGATAGTAATGGACCAATAGAAATACTTATTGGCGCTGACATTGCAGGCAAGTTGATGACCGGAGGATTTAAATTGCTTACTTCAGGCCTTGCTGCTATAGAAACAAAACTTGGTTGGACTCTTTTCGGGAAAAATGGTATGCGTGAGATCTCGGACAATTCCGCACTGCTCGTCACATCCATGTTGAATAAGGAAATATTGATATCCGATCTATGGTCTCTAGATTCACTTGGAATTCTAGATCCATCAGAGAAGAAAAGTAAACTGGAACTTCAAGAAGAAGCAAGAGATCATTTCTTGTCTACTGTAAAGGTGAACGAAGAGGGGCGTTTTCAAGTCAGCTTGCCATGGCTTGATAACCATCTACCGTTAAAAGATAACTATGACTTAGCTGTAAAGAGATTAGCTTCTACAGTAAAACGACTAAAAGCTGAGAAACTTTATGATGCTTATGGAGAAGTTTTTAGTGAATGGGAACAAGAAGGCATCATAGAAGAAGTACCAAAAAGCGAAATTGATGTAACATGCCATTATCTACCACATCGACACGTAGTAAAAGAAAACAGTACTACACGAATCAGGCCAGTGTTTGATGCCTCGGCCAAACAAAAAGGATCCCCTAGTCTCAATGATTGTCTAGAAAAAGGTCAGAACCTTATCGAACTGATTCCTTCAATTCTTCATAGATTCCGAATGAACAGAATAGGAGTTTCTGCAGATATACGAAAAGCATTCTTACAAATAAGTCTCAACCCTAAGGATAAAGACTATCTAAGATTCTTATGGTATAGAACTGATGGAAAACTGAAGTATTACAGGCATTGTAGGGTAGTATTTGGAGTTACAAGCAGCCCTTTCTTGCTAGTTTCTGTAATTCACCATCTTCTAGAATCCACTTTGAAACAACTAAATGGAAACCCAAAGTATAAAGTGGATATTATTGAGCAATTGAAGAAGAGCTTTTATGTAGATAATTGTTTAGCGCGAGTGTGAAAAATGATTTAGAATTGCAACAATTCATACAAGTTGCTTCAGATACTTTAGCTACAAGAAAGCTAGAATTACGTGGTTGGGAATATAGTGACCCAACAGATAATTCCTCTAGTACCACAAATGTATTAGGAATGATTTGGGAACGATGTGGAGATTACCTTTGCCTTAATATTACTAACATCACCTACAGTCTACCAGAAATTTTGTCTAAAAGAGAGATTTTAGCTACTACACACAAAATATTCGACCCTTTAGGAATATAGCTTGCCCCGTAACTCTTGTGCCGAAACTTTTACTTCAGCACCTATGGGAAGTTAAGTTATCTTGGGACCAAGAAGTTGATTCAAATTCAAAATCACAATTTTGTAAATGGTTGAATGATTTGCAGTGTCTGGAAAGAATGAGAATACCAAGATGGTTAAACTGTGATCGTGAGATTGAAAATATCTCACTTCATTTCTTCAGTGATGCGAGTAAACTTGCATATTCAGCTGTGGCCTTTGTTCGAGTACAAACAAGAGATTCGGTTCAAGTTCATTTGGTGCAAGCTAAAGCGAGAGTTGCACCCAGCGGAAGGAAAAAGACAACAATAGCTCGATTGGAACTTCTTGGAGCTACAATATGTGCACGTTTAGCATCCAGCATAATACCTGAATTTCAAGCTGATGATATTTATTTTTGGACAGATTCGTCTACTGTGCTAGCTTGGATACAGAGAAATGAAGTATGGGACGTATTTGTTCACAACAGAATTAAGGAAATAAAGCAACTGACTTCTATTGAATCCTTGGAGGCACGTACCAGGATCACTGAATCCTGCTGATTTGCCCAGTAGAGGATGCTCTGCTTCTTATTTAATTAAATCCTAGATGGTGGGAAGGACCTAAATGGCTATATTTATCACCAGAAAAATGGCCAAAAGAAGATTTTAGTGCTGATGAAGAAGAAATAGCTCTTGAGAAAAAGAAAAGGATTATTTCGTCCTTAATAAATCTTAATGCTAGTGAAATAGTTGCTACTAGATTCTCAAGTTATCGTAAGACAATCAGACTGGTAGCGTGGATGTGTCGTTTACAACTGTAAACATCAAAACAAACTGTAACATCAAACAAGAAAAAGGATGAACTTACTGTATCTGAGTTAAATGAAGCAGAGAATATCTTGATTCGTTTAATACAAAATGAGTCCTTTAATGGAATAGAAGATAAACGGATTTTAAGTCTTAATCCATTCATTGATTGTGGGATCATCAGAACTAAAACAGCGATATTTCAAAGAGAAGATACATCTGAGTTCAGAACTCCTGCTATTTTTTGCCAAGTGATCATCCTCTTATAAAAGTTTAAATGGAAGAACATAAGTTGAAAGGACATGTTGGAGTTTCTCACGTCCTAAATTCCTTAAGAGAAAGATTTTGGATATTAGCTGGAAGAAGAGTTGTGTCATCCGTTTTGAAAACTTGTATAACCTGTAAGCGTTATTCAAACAAAAATGTTAACCCACCAGCGCCACCACTTCCTAGAGATCGGGTACAGGATGCCTCAGTATTTCAAATAACTGGCATAGATTATGCTGGACCTATATTTCTAAGAGACTACAAGAAGGCATGGATTTGCCTATTCACTTGCGCAGTGTACCGTTGTGTTCATTTGGAACTGGTTACATCCTTAACGACAGATACATTTCTACAAGCGTTTCATCGTTTTTCTGCTAGACGTGGGAAGCCATCCATAATTTATACTGATAACGGAACAAATTTTGTTGGAGCATGCAATGCACTTGCTTCAATCGATTTCAATGAAATTGGAAAAAAAGGAGCTAATGAACGTATTATTTGGAAGTTCATTTCCCCAGGCGCTCCATGGTGGGGTGGCTGGTGGGAACGCCTCATAGGAATGATGAAAGAATATTAAAGGTTCTTGGGAGAGCTTGCCTTAGTTATGAGGAAATGTGTACCGTTTTGTGGAACTTTGAAGCTATTCTAAATGATAGACCTTTAACACTTGGCATGCGGGCAACGTATTTTTACGTTTTTTACAGTCTGTCATTTGAGTGCGGGTCACGTAAAAATATGTATTTAGTAGATTTGTGGTAGATACCTGCTAACCACCAAAAATCTAGACATTATATGGGTGTTGTTTGCATTGCTAGGCAAAGCTTTGCATTTTTTCTTTCAACAAGTTACGATTGGTCGAGTCACTTGATCTTTTGTTGAGTTATTTCATCTTCAATCGAATTCTTAGCTCCAGAACGTACAAGTTGTATTTTGTCAATTTAAAGTTTGGTTTTTTATTATTGATTAAGTAAATTGATAAAACGAACCATTGTGACAAAGATAGTGATGAAGAAATATACACTGACAGATTGTCATACTTTTCTTATAATAGTGATTCTGAAAGTCAAGATATCAAAGAAAGTGACGATGATGAAATTATTCCACCTTCTCGAGTGTTCGTCCGAAGAAGAATTTCTAGTACCGTAATTGCCGGAAGAAACGCCGCGGCGTTTACTTGTTTAAAACTTAAATTTTCAGTGGGTGCGGCGTTTCTACTCATGCGTCGTTTAGGTGCACTAAAAATAAAATATTTCCTATGATGGTCATTGTACATAGTTTGGATGGCCTTGTCATTGTGCATAGACTGGTGCTGTTTCCACACAAAAGACCACTCAGTTGCTTTTTGCGAACGTTATTTTGTTTACATTCTTTCCCTTGAACGGACCTACATGCCTCATTCACCCTAAACGAGATCTCAGAACAATAACATTCTTCCCCCTTTCAAATCAACATTCTCATCAGTTCGAATAGTTTGTCTCCTCTGCCATTTGATGAATTTTCCAGGACCCTTCCTCTCCCCACCCCTGCCTTTTCTGCAATTTAAAAAAATTTGAAAACAAAGGCGGACACGACTCCACCTGCCTCGCAATAATGAACTCTGACGTATTTTCCCTTCAGCATGAATGTATTTCTTGGCATTCTGCCAAATACAGATTCCATCAGTTTGAGGACAAGTACTTGTTGGATAGCTTTTAAGTAAGAAGGGAGCGCAAAATTTTTGAAAATGTCTCTAAACGGCACAGAAGCTATACATTTCTTACCTTTAATTTATTTTTGAGTTATGGTTTCATTTCATGCATGTTTCTTAACTGGTATGTCATATATCAGGACTTAGGTTGAGTTTTTGCATCTATACGGCCCACGACGGTGTCACGCGCAATTTAATCTATTGCGGCGTTTCTGTGTAATTTAAATTTTTTTTTCCATTTTTCTCGAGTGCGGCGTTTACGCTGATGCGGCCTTTCTTCCGGAAATTACGGTATTTGATATTTCAGATATTTCTCAATTGTTTCAGGAAAGACACTTCTAATTATATAAAATCACTTACGAAAACTGCTTTCATCATTGAAAATGCTTTAGCAGACAGCATAAGGGCTTCGGTTTCACTTATTTATACTCATTATGTTTTACTCATTATGGCAAAGCAGACTAGGACTATCTGCCTGAGGAAATGACGGTATCTAAGCGAAACAGTCTCGTATTCATGTTATATGCTGGCAAAATCACGAAAATGCCCGTGCAGAACGAAAATGTCGGAATTCGAAACTGTGACCAAACTATCAGCATTCAGCGATTTTACCACTCGATTTCAAGAATATTTCAAGATGATGCTTCATAAAATGTGTTACACGGAAGGAAAGTAAAATCGTCTGCTTTTCATAATTTTGTTTTGTAAAAACGCTAAATGAATCGCTTTTGTTCTAATTTTAGTAGAGAATTCAATTAATAATCAAATGAGATTTATTAAAGAAACTGATATTATATTATGAAACAGATTTACTAGAAAATTGCATACATATTAGATGAGAACAAAAGTTTTACCCGTTTTTAAATAGAAAAATTAGAATACTATGCATTAATGTAATTTCCGTAGTTTAGTAGCTCTTGGCATTTGCTTTGCAGTAAATCAATCCCTCGCTGATGAAACTCTTCTGATTTATAGTTAAAAAAATTTGTAATGAAGTTTTCACATAAAGAACAAAGTAACTCTGTAATAATCGAAAAAATGACAGTCAATATGAGCAAGGTCCGATGAGCACGCTGTGTAGGGTAAAACATCCAAATCAGTGTCAGCAGGAGTTACATTTCAGTATGGTAAAGCAGCATGAGGTTTGGCGTGGTGTTGAAAAATGAAGGCTTTGTGATTGGAATGTGCTGGCCACTTGCGTAACACGAGTACCGTATTCTATCCAGCTATTGGCATTACATGTCAACCAGCATTAATCTACCCAGTTTAAAAAATCTTTTTGAGATGCAATCTTTTTGGGGAGAAAGATGGAGCGAATTCTGCGACATGACATGCAGTCCCAACCAGCTTGATAGCACTTTAGATAAATAGCGTTTCTGCTGATTCCCAACAGCTGGACGAAGCATTTGATCTGGATTTTTCCTGAATCTACTGAGATACTATATATAGACATGAATCAAACTATCGACAGACAGTTTGTGGCTGGCATCCGAAATGTGGCTGGACTTTATAGTTTCTGTTTCCGTCCCTATATTTTCAAAATTAGCGACTGCATCTGTTATTGTAAACTACCGGCATACTAGATGAAAATTTTGGTTTGCTAGGGCTGTAGAACTGCTTCTATCAAACTAGCACATTCTGTCTAATATTTATTATTTAATTGCTAAATATTAGAGAGACTTGTCTTATTTTTATTTTTTGGTTACACACACATTTATTAGCCAGACATTCCAGTCATCGTACGTCATTCCACTCATCAGCATCATACATCATGTACGTCTTTAAATCCACTTGTAATCTGCATTTTCAAAAATGGGTAGAATTGTTTATCTCACGTAATTTATCTGTCTGGAATCCAATATTCTAAAACAGAGACTTAAATTATAATCGTACAGAAAAGTGATGTTCACGATAATTACAGAAAATTACGTGTCTCACAGCATTTCATAGATTCGAAGCATTGTAGATTTCTAAAGTGGGCATCTTAGCACCTTTTTAAATAATTTCAGACATGTTTCAAATTAGAATACTGTGTCTATAGATTAAAACGTGGCCTATAGAATATTGAATATGGTCAATAGATTGAAATCAGTACATTTATTCATTTGGATTAAAAGGGCTTAGGTCAAGCAAAGCTTGCTTCTCTTCTTCGGATGTGTTTCATTTTGTTTGTACCAAAAGCATTTTGCAGAATATCGTGCCACCAGATCATATTCCAATCTGACTATACATAAGAGTTTCTTTTGAGTTTTCTTTAGCTAAGTTCAAAGGATGCATTTGTTTTTCTCGCTCATATAAACTGTAGCTCCGGTTTCACTGCATACGTTTGCAATAATCCACCGCCACAATTTATCTCAGAATCTTTTACTTTTCTGTGACTGTCTGTTTACTTTTATGGAGGTCTTTAACTTTTCTTTAATTTACACCATGAATTATACTATGTAACTCATAAACCTGATGCAAATTGAATATGATTTTAGGCTGAAACTCTTTGGTTCTATATAATTATCCAAGTATATTTCCGTCGTTACGTCGAATTACATAAATGAATAAATGGATTCCTAGTATCACATTGCTCTCCTTTAACGTAAGTCAACAAATTATTCTTTTCTCCTAGGATATTTAAGTAATTACTTATCCTGCTTGCCAGCAACCAAATGAATGAGATTGCCGAATACTGGTACTTCAACACAAACCCGAGTTTAAAAATACTTATCTGCGAAAGGGCTTGAGTATGGGTGTTTTAGTAGATTTCTTTATGAAAAAGGGAATTTTGTTTAGGAAGTCCTATAGAAAAGTTCCCTTAGAAAGTTCTTCACGAAATCATTCTTCTCAAATAGATAGTACTTATATACTTTTAAACATTAAAATAAACTTTCTCTTTCTGGAGATATTTCAATTTTGAATACTTTTCTAACACCTAAACAAAACCTTTCTCTATTATTGTATTCATATTATTCTGTAGCCAAGTGAGTAACACCGTCGAATACTGGTAGCTAGCCCTACATTCGGTTCTCTCTGAACAAGCTAATTTCAGGTGATTTTAGTTATGGATAAAATGATCAGACATCTTCGGATTGCAGAAGACTGAGTGCATTTCAATGCAATGTCTCATTTCGAGATATGTCCTAGTAAATATACATAGTGTGTAAACATTACCAGATTTTGTAAATAGAGTTGACATGATTTTGCTATTGCTGCTGTATATATTCGATGCTTTTGTAGGATAAGAAATATAGTCGATCAAATAATTGTACTTTCTCGATGTTAGAAAACTCACGACGTGCACAAAAAGTAATTGAATTTTTTATGAAAACAAATTTTGACTTTCTATTTAAACTGTGTTTTATACTTCGAAAATGAACAATGAAATTAAATAATTGAAGTAGTTTCAGTTGAATACTCACTGTACATGCTGGAAAATATAAAAACTTGGAAGAGTATGGAGTTCTAATATTTTTCGGAAGTTAAAATTTCGACGAAACGTATTCATCTAATGACACATTCCTTTTTTTCAAAACATACAAAATGTTAAAGAATTCCTCAGAAATAAAACAAGAGAAAGTTTTCTTAAAATCAAAACACTCTTCAAATTTGTAACCGAACCCCGCTAATACAAAAAAATTGCAAAAGCATAGCCTGTATTTCAGTAATGAGTATTGAAGTGAAACACAGCGAAATCTCTAACGACAAATATCAACATTATTTCTCGTCTTTTAACATCTTCAACTGACATATTGTCTAAGGTCATTTCAGTGTCATGTGATGACCTACACAGAAGGCAGAAATAGTTTGAAGCTATGAAGTCTCTGTGGTTCCACTAACATGTGTGACCAACTAAAGGAAACCAAACTCCGAAAGTTAATAGCCAGCTTCCACAGGAGATTTCT